GGTGGGCACCAAACCTAATGAAGTAATGGCGATTGTAGGCACCAGGGTGGGATGATGGGCAGCTGCCCTTTGTGGAAAGAGGAAAATCTCAGGTTCTGCCAAGGTAGATCTTGATTGAGGAAAAGATGGAGAAGATGGGAACTAACTTTCTCCAAGCCAGGTTGAAAAGGTAGATATCTGCCTTCCAGAGCTTGGGATTTCTCAGCTGAAAAATGCTTTGTTTGCAGCCTCTCTTCATCACCGCCTACAGATTTCAAAAGTATCTTCCCCTTAGGACTAAATATAAAGAAGAGAAATGGTGCTGAGAAAACACACTTAGAACCAGCCTTGCTCTGGGGCCCATTTCAGCATGCTCGTTGTGTCTTCTCCACTCCCCCAGCCTTGGCATGGGGCAGCCTTTGTGAATTTCAAAGGTATTTCAAAGGTGAATTTCAAATATCTGCCCTGCCACTACTTTGTATCACCTTAACATCACGGCTGGTATCTCTCGGAGGGCTCTCACAGCATCGTACTGTTTGGCCCTCTTCATATTACTTTATTACATCTAGCTTCCATTCTGGAGCAGAATGGATTGTTGGAGCCTGCTTCCAGCATTGACAGAAGTGCTCCCTTTGAATGAATGTGTGGTTGATACTGTTAAAATACTTGAAATTACAATTAGCAGTAAATTTTAAGATAACAAGATATCTACCAGAATCAGATGGAGAAGGTTTGAATGCATGTAAATAGCAGCATGGTTGACCAAGGACTAATAAGTCATTGCATACTGACTCGATTAGAGTGTATTGCAGTGTACCACTGTATCATTAGCGTTTAGTTTGCTCAGTCCAGCAACTTCAAAATGATGTTACATTTCTTGACAATTACTTCTTAATTGGAAAGGATTTACATCATGTAAAATTTGGCAAACATACTGAAATTTTACTTAGATTATTATATCAAACTATTTCCTATTTGCATATTTAAAATTCACACACAGTACAATAGCAGTATAGTGCCTTAGGCAAGGAAGATTAGTAACTGAACAAACCCAAGTTGAATACAGAGCAGGTTGTTCTAAATAAACCTCAAATCTGGAATTCAGAAGAGCAGAGAATTGTTTTACCATCTCTTCTGTCTTCTGCTTCCTTAATCTTTGCTAGTCTGTTTACGTTTCCAGATCTGCATTCTACAAAGCTGAGCCTCTCTCCTAATAGCTATTATACCATTAATTCACTTTTTTTTTTTTTTTTTTTTGAGACAGGGTCTTGGCCTTTCACCCAGACTGGGGTGCCGTGGTGCGATCACAGCTCACTGCAGCCTCAGCCGCCTTGACCTCCCAAAGTGCTGGGATTGCAGGCGTGAGCCAATGCGCTGGCCTCATTTATTCATTTTATTTATTGATATATTATTATGGTTCTACTCCTTTTCCTCACTCACCTGACCCCTTTCCCTTCCAACTTTGTTCCGATGCTCTGCATGTTTTAATTGGGGAATTTCATTTCTGATGTGGAGCTTTCAGACATGCACACAGGAGGCTTGACATAGAAGGTGACTGACACAAAAAAATCTCCCAGTCGGTCAGCTCAGCAGCCAAGCAGCCAACTTAAGCATGGTCTGCGAGTCTGAAATTGGGACGTGCAGCTCGCCATGATGCCAGACTTACTACCGCAGCAGTGATTCTGGGACAGTGGTGGTAGCCCTGTCTACCTCACAACTGGTTTTATGAATGAGTCAGTGCTGGCTGCTGTAGACTGGATTAAACCACAGAAATGTATATTCTCACCATCCTGGAGGCTGGAAGTCTAGGGGTGCTAGCCTGGAAAGATTATAGTGAGGGTTCCATTCCTGCCTGGGAGGCAGCTGCCTTCTCCTTGTGTCCTCATATGGTAAAGAGAGAGTTCTGGTCTCCTTCTTACAGGGACACTGATCCCACCATGGGGGCCTCACCATCTTTTTTTTTTTTTTTTTAGACAGATTCTTGCTTTGTTGCCCAGGCTGGAGTGCAATGGCACAATCTTGGCTCATGGCAACATCTGCCTCCCTGGTTCAAGCAATTCTCCTGCTTCAGCCTCCTGAGTAGCTGGGATTACAGGCACACGCCATCAAGCCCAGCTAGTTTTGTATTTTTGTGGAGACGGGGTTTCACCATGTTGGCCAGGCTGGTCTTGAACTCCTGACCTCAGATGATCCGCCCTCCTCGACCTCCCAAAGTATGAGCCACTGCTGCCAGCTGCACCCTCTTGACTTCATCTAAACCTAATCACCTCCTAAAGACCCCCACCTCCAACACCATCATCACACTGGGGATTCCGTCTTCAGCGTATAAATTCTGAGGACATAAACATTCAGTTCATAACAGTACCATAGGTTTTTGAAATGCAGGCTTAAGGAGAATTTTGAAAAGTACAAAGAGATTTGCAGATTTAAGATATATTTAGTTATAAAAATATATGACAATATCATCGTCACATTTCCTTATTGGCAGGTTTCTAAACTTTTCCCTTGTGCCTCGGTTTCTAAGGAAACCAAGTTCTTTCCATGAAATGTTCAGAAACAGTTGCAATTTGAACTGTAAGAAGCAGAATGTTAAATGTGCAGGGCATTGAGACTCTGCAACAGTACACGCTGCACTTAGATGCTTAAGTTTTCACTGCATTGCTGCCCTATCGCATTGCCGTAAGACAGAAAATACTGTATGCAGATATTTTCATTCAGTAGAATTCGTCCATACCTTATATATCACATAGTGGGGAATGAGGGGACCTTGGCAGAATGAGAAGAAGGACAGGTAGGATTTCAGGGAGGCAGAGGGTCGGGCAAGGTGTAGATCATGGGGTCCTAAGGGCAGGAGGTTGTGGGAGCAATGGAAGGGGCGAGCGTTCTGGCCAGAGGTCCTCCAGCAGCTGCAGAGGTGAGGCGGTAGCAGGCAGAACGGTGGGAAGCAGGCCCTGGAGACACCAGTTAGGGAGACCACTACTGAAAGGGGACCGATGGTAGAGGACATGGAAGGGCACAGCCTAAACGGACGTCCCTCTTTCACCACGAAAGCTGCCTCGATTGCCTCCCCCGGGCATGCTCACTGCCATGTAATGGACACCCAGGAAATGTTGAGTAAGTGATTGAATAAATAATTAAGTGAATACAGGCCGAGTGCAGTGGCTCACGCCTGTAATCCCTGCACTTTGGGAGGCCGAGGCAGGAGGATCCTTTCAGCCCAAGAGTTTGGGACCAGCCTGCAACATGATGAAACTGTCTCTACTAAAAATACAAAACTTAGCCGGGCGCGGTGGCGCATGCCTGTGGTCCCAGTTACTCGGGAAGCTGAGGTGGGTGGGAAGATCGCTTAAGCCCTGTAGGTCAAGGCTACAGAGAGCTGTGATCATCCCACTGCATTCCAGCCTGGACTGCAGAATAAGACCCTGTCTCAAAAATAATAAGAAGAAGTGAATGCTTCCAGGGCACCCAGACTCTCCTCGGCCCTAACAGCAGTCTACCTCTGTGATACGTTCTCAAGCTCTGAAGAGTTTCAGATGTTGAAACTTGTTGGGGGAAGGTTCTTGAAAAATGACGACTGGAGAGAAGTTGGTGTCAGGAGGGACATCCTGGGCTCTTGGCTTACCTAAGCTTGGATCATTTAGACAACACGGTCGTTAAAATGTAGTTTCTCCCCGTCTCTTCCATTTCTTTCACTCTTTGAATTGCTTTTTTATTTCTCCTGAGCACCTCTTTCTTATCTAGATTGTCAGTTTGCCTTAGAAATGAAATCTTACCCAAGCACAATATTGCTTGCCATGACAAGAGGTAATGGAAGAGACTAGCACTCAGGCCTTTTACAGCTGCAGTGGTTGTGTTCTTGTTTTTTTAAAAGAAGGTTTCAGTGGATCAGTTATTGCACATAAATTGCCATGACTTGCAGAAAGTGAATCCTATCTCTGTGTGTTTGTGTACGAGTGTGTGTTACTGTAGGGCTTGTCTTTGCTATGTCTATGAAAGATACAAGAGTTGTTTTTAAGCTGCTTTTTGATTTGAGTATTTCAAATCTGTCTCATCCTGTTTTTGGAAAATGTTTCTCTTGTTTTTCAGAAGTGTTAATAAATCCCTTCCAATTTATTTCCAAGAAGGCTTAATGATCTGAGATGCGTTGGAGAGCCGTGGTTGAGTTGTTTGTATTCTGGCTCTTACACTTCCGTTATTTTGTTGAACTCAGAGTGGCATCAAATATCAGAGCTGAAAGGTGCCAGAGAGGCTGCCCCCAGCCCGCAGGGCTTCTTGGCCCTTGCCAACCTAATCCCATTTTGAAAAATGTTTTAAAATGTTAAATACAATCTGAAATGCAAAGCAAATAAAAAGGATATAGCATCACTCAAACCAAAGCAAAGCAATGAAATACAGGGTTGATTTTTTGCCTTTTTCATAAATCACAAGTGGCTTTGAGGTTCTGATCATTCCAAGGGCATGTTCCTACCCAGTGTTGAAAATGGTTGACTAGATTCATCCCCTCATTTTACACATAAAAAGATCAAGGTCCAGGGATTCAGGGAGTGTTCATAACTCAGTACATTAGGAGCAGAACTTGGTCAAAAACCCAGACATCCTGTTGGCAGGCCAGCGCTTTGCCCACAACACTCTCGGTCATTTAAGGATACTGTCTTATGAAAAGGAGACGTCTTATCCAGGGTCGTCTCCCTGTATCGGAGGATCCTGCTATTCAGGAAGGGTTTTTTAAAAAAAACTTTACATTATCAGAGCAGAACGGAGGCAGAGGCCTACAGAGACCCCAGGTGTGGCTGGGCTGTGGGTCCTGTTTTCTCAAACTTCCTTTACCTTGGTCCAGTCATTTATACTGCTATGGCATGGACACATTTCCTGGATATAGCTTCTGAGGAATGGGGGGCAACATCTAAATCTGAGACTGGATTCACTTTTGAAATAAAGTTTGGGCCTTTTATCACACTGGAAGCTTTCCCTGCACAATTCAACGAATTCTCTCAAACTCCTAATGTGTTCTTTCTTGCCAGGGTGTCTGGTGGAGAGCTATTTGACCGGATAGTGGAGAAGGGGTTTTATACAGAGAAGGACGCCAGCACTCTGATACGCCAAGTCCTGGACGCTGTGTACTATCTCCACAGAATGGGCATCGTCCACAGAGACCTCAAGGTGAGGCCATCACTCAGCAGCATCCTGCAGCCGCTCTGCAGCCCACTGTGCACCTGTCCAAGAGGGCTGATGCCGGTGGGGGCACAGCCGCTCTGATGTAGCGTGCGTGTGACGGATGGTGGCACTTGTGTCCTTTCAGTTGTCAGGGCCTTTGGGATCCAGACCCAGAAGTATCTTGGAAGAAGATGAAGATTCACATGGCTGGCCTCTGTTCATGAGCTTTTACACCCATTATGTAGCCAAAGGGTTGCAGGGAGGTGGGTTGTATATTGCTTCAAGCCCTTCTAAGAGATCATTTTGCTCAAGACATGTATGCTGCAGAAACCCTTCTCCCGGTGCAGTTCTGCAGTACCTTTGCCAATTCCAGCTCCATTTCAGCACAACACACCTTATAAAAGACAGAGAGCAGTGGTCAGACACTGTGAGAGGAAAGCAAAGGGAAACAGAAGGTAAACATACAGAAGAGGGAGAAGAGAAATAGAAGGGAAAAAGACAGGTTAAAAGAGCCACGATGGCAGCCGCCTCCCAATACCCTGCAGGTTCCTTTCTTACAATTTCCTAATGAGGCTTTGGAAAGCCTTCACCCATTGGCACAGAAGGATCTGGGCCTTATATGGGCGTATCTGCCACTCCCTCCCAGGTCTATGTAGACACTGAAGGACAGATGTCAAACGTACAATACTGAAGGGTGGATATCACACACACGGTACCCGAGGTGGGTATCAGACATATCAACTTGAGAAACAGTAGAAAGCAGTGCTGTTGACCCAAAGCTGCAGTGTGGCTTCATTCTAGGATGTGGACAGGTCCAGCCCCCAGAGCTTACTGCACCAGTCAAGACAAAATTCCACCCCAGCACGTGTACCCACCACTCATTATAAGCACGAAGATCATATTCTCTTGAAGCTGTGCCGTACACAACTGTGGGAAATCAAAATCAATTTAGAGAACCAGTCATAAACATTTGTATAAACAGTTTCCACACCTGCTACTGGGTATCAAGGAATAAAGTGGTATAGCTTTTTCTTTCATAAAGACTCACTGCTGGCCGGGCGCAGTGGCTCATGCCTGTAATACCAGCATTTTGGGAGGCCCAGGCAGGTGGATCACGAGGTCAGGAGTTTAAGACCAGCCTGGCCAAGATAGTGAAACCCCGTCTGTACTAAAAATACCAAAATTAGCTGCCTGCAGTCCCAGCTACCCAGGAGACTGAGGCAGAATTGCTCAAACCCAGGAGGCAGAGGTTGCAGTGAGCTGAGATTACACCACTGTACTCCAGCCTGGGCAACAGAGCCAGACTCTGTTTCAGAAAGAAAAGAAAAAAAAAAAAAAAAAAAAGACTCACCACCATGATTTTTCTTCTTGTTGTCATGTTCCATTTACCCAGGCAGTGGTTCCTGAATGCTCACCCACATCAGAATTGTCTGGAGGGCTGTGGAAATAGAAACCACTGCCCCTTCTCCAGCAGTCTGGCTCTGTAGGTCTCCAGTGTGGTCTGAGAGCTTGCCTTTCTAACAGGGCTACAGATGATGAGGATGCTAGTCTGGGATCTGCTCTTGGAAAACCACTGGGTGAGGATATTTGGGAATCTCAGTGGATCCCTTTCAGCTTTCATGCTCTGCAGAAAACACCTGTTCAGGACCTGGAGGTGCTTCAGAGGGCTAGGCAGGGGTAGCTCAGCCGACCTGGCACCTCTGTGCCAGGCCTCAGGGCCTTCTCTGCTCTCTTATGCCCCCACAAATGCCAATTCTGTGCTTCCAGAACACCACAGGCAGCTCTCTCTGAACACGTTAGCGTGGTGATGTGGTGTGATGGGCTAGTGTCTGACTTATTAGAAAAAGAATTTCTAAGCAGTTAAGCCATATCCAGGAGAACAGTCTTTATGTCTGCCTTAGAAATGCTGATTGGCCGAATGGGAGGTACCGTTTTTAATTGGCGCACGTAATGCTTTTGGAGAACTGCTTGCAGCTTCCATCCTGGGGAACCTTAAGATCACCGGGCCTGTCGTTATGTAAAGAACATTGCCATTTTAGGACCTTTTTGTGATCTCTTTTCAGAGGCACAGAGGAGTTTGATCTATGAGGAGGAAGTTGAAATTGGACTATTAAATTTGCATAGACAGCTAAGAAAGTTAAAATTAAAACAACTGAGCCCGAGCAATAGAGAGTATGATCCCGTTAATGTAAACTTAGTGCAACAATGGGATTACTGCCTCAGCCCTCCTGCGGTTACACCCCCTTCTCTCTGTAGAAAGCTATTTGATCGCCTGTTGCCCCAGGAAGCTGCTGGAGACAATCAGTTGTTCTTTTTGCAAAATGAAGTGACTGAGACTGGAAGTGCCTGCTCCTGCCTCGGTGGATTAGGATGGGTTTCTCGGCCCCTCCACCATTGGCATTCTGCCCTGGGCACTATGGGATTTACAGCAGCATCCCCACCTCTGCCCACGGATACCAGTACCACGTCTAGAGTTGCAGCAGCTGCAAATGCCCCTAGGCATTGCCAGACATCCATCCCCTGGGGGGCAAAATTGCCGCTGGTTGAGAATCACTGAATTAGGAATGTGATGGTGGATAACAGGAATGTTACCAGAAGTGTGTTGATTATGATCTTTTTTTTTAGTTGATTTTTTTTTATTATTATACTTTAAGTTCTGGGATACATGTGCAGAACGTGCAGGTTTGTTACTTAGGTATACAGGTGCCATGGTGGTTTGCTGCACCCGTCAACCCGTCATCTACATTAGTATTTTTCCCGATGCTCTTCCACACCCCCCAATAGGCCCCCAGTGTGTGATGTTCTCCTCCCTGTGTCCATGTGATCTCATTGTTCAACACCCACATATAAGTGAGAACGTGTGGTGTTTGGTTTTCTGTTCCTGTGTTAGTTTGCTGAGAATGATGGTTTCCAGCTTCATCCATTCCCTGCAAAGGACACGAACTCATCCTTTTTTATGGCCGCATAATATTTCATGGTGTGTGCGTGCCACATTTTCTTTGTCCAGTCTATCAGTGTTGGGCCTTTGGGTTGAGTCCAAGTCTTTGCTATTGTGAACAGTGCTGCAGTAAACGTACGTGTGCATGTGTCTTTATAGATCTTTTTAGAGTTTATTATGTGGATTATTATAAAGGGTATGGGGTTGATATTCCGACTCAGGTATTGGTCATCAGTTGTCTTGCAAAGATGCTATGATTATGCAGAAAACTTAATTTTTCCAGTGGGTCCCAGACCTCTTTGAACACCAGGAGGAATTGTGATGCAATGTAGGCCCCCCAACCCCATGGCCCTCCTGCTGGGGATTGGGGCCTCCCTGAGCCTGCCTCTCCCCCACCGTCTTCCCTCCTCCCCCACTCCCATCTCCCAGGAAAAGCCCCACTGTCTTTACTAAGTTTTGGGCCAATTAAGAGTATTGATCTAAACTGTGAATGACCAGTTAATTTAACCCTCTTGGGCATAATTGGTCTTCAAAAGAGCATTTTATTTACCCAAATGAACCTTTTCTAGGAGGGATGTGTGGATGCGCTGGCCACCCCTTGCCTGGATTATGCCTTGTTTAGCAGCGTGAAATCACTTTCTCTCCACTCCTTACCACCTCTGCAGCTGCAGAAGTCCTGGGACAAGGAAGATAAAAAATCAGAAACAACTTTGTCCTCTCTCCTACTGTTTAGCAAAGGACAATCCCTAAACATCCAGAGAAAGCATGAACCGCACGGACTTGATGATTCGAGCATTCCAGCCCACTTTCTAAGCGTGATGGTATTTTTATTTCAACTGATTGGCCACTTTACTTTCTTTTAAAACTCAGTGGGGCCAGGAGTGGTGGCTTATTCCTATAATCCCAATACTTTGGGAGGCCGAGGTGGATGGATCTCCTGAGGTCAGGAGTACGAGACCAGCCTGGCCAACAGGGTGAAACCTTGTCTCTACTAAAAATGCAAAATTAGCTGGGTGTGGTGGCGCATGCCTATAATCCTAGCTACTCGGGAGGCTGAGGCAGGAGAATCGTTTGAACCCAGGAGGTGGAGGATGCAGTGAGCCGAGATTGTGCCACTGCGCTCCAGCCTGGGTGACAGAGTGAGACTCCATCTCACACAACAACAACAAACTCATTGGAACCGTTGTTCAGCACACAGTCGATTTTCTTCTAGTCTCCTGCTTCATCCGCAGAATTAATGTCACAGTCACTATTAACCGCCATCCCTCAAGTGGCCTTGTCGTCTGGGGTGATGCCAGGTTCGTTGTCCTATACCAGGGATATCAAGGGTGCAGACACACAGCGAATGAGGTTTGGAGCAGAGATTTAATAGGCAAAAGAAAGCAGAGCTCTCTCCTGCAGAGAGGGGTCCCGAGTGGGTTTGTAGTCTGTGGTGAAATGCAGGGGGGTTAGCAGCTGAGCTTGAGGAGGTGGTGACTGATTTACATAGGGCATGAAAGATTGGGTGGACCAGGTATGCCATTTGCATAGAGCATGAAAAGCTGGCTGCCCCCATCCCAATCTTGTATTATGCCGATGGGTTCTTTGCCTGGCCAGCCCCATGGTGCCTGTTTCTGTACCATACATGTGGCTGACAAAGAAAACGGAAGATGGCGCGGCCATGTTGTGAACATGCCTGGCCCCCAGGTGGCCTTTCTTGTTGGCACAGATGCCAGCATTCACCCATGAAAGCTTCCAGCTTGCTTATTTATGTTTGCAGCTTGACTTTTCAGGCTGTTCTTTGTTAGAAAAAAAAATAATGTCTTGGGCTGCTTTTTGTTAGAAGGGAAGCCTGGCTGAGGATTCTTTTACCCTCACTATCCGCTTAAATCATTTCTTTCTAGTTCCTGTATCACCCCAATCGCCTTGGCCTGCCTTCAGCAGGAGTCCTGTCAGCGGGGTGGGGTGGATGAAGAACTTGATCGGGTACCAGTGGTGGCGGGATTCTCTGACGTAGCCGACTCTTGCTAAGCCGGGGCCACTCAGGCCTAGCAGAGGCAGGATAGACAAGGCCAAGTTCAAGCCGAGGACAGCAGGGGACTGACAGGAGCCTACCTCAAGTTCAGTCAAGGAGGGAGTCTTGGTTAGCTCTGAAAATTTCTTCACTGTGATAGTGACATATCAGAATCCGCCTGTGGAGCTCTGAAATCCACAGCCCTCGTCCCCATCTCAGACCCATTGAAGGACAAGATGCCGGGTCAGTGAATACCCTCACAGGTGACTCTGCCACGCAACAGGCAGAGAACCACTTTAAATATGTCTAGTCACACTGTGAACCCAGAGCATCTGAGGCAGGTCTCTGTCAATTTATGTTTTTAGTTTTGAGATGGAGTTTCTCTCTTTTGGCCAGGCTGGAGTGCAGTGGCACGATCTCAGCTCACGGCAACCTGCACCTCCCAGGCTCAAGCGATTCTCCTGCCTCAGCCTCTTGAGTAGCTGGGATTACAGGCACCCACCACCACACCTGGGTAATTTTGTATATTTAGTAGAGACAGGGTTTCACCATGTTGGCTAGGCTGGTCTCGAACTCCTAACCTCAGGTGATCCGCCCACCTCAGCCACCCAAAGTTCTGGGATTACAGGTGTGAGCCACCGCGCCCAGCCAGGTCTCAGTCAATTTAAAGTTTATTTTGTCAAGGTTGAGGATGCCCCTGTGGCACAGCCTCAAGAGGTCCTGATGACAACGTGCCCAGCGCGGTCGGGCACAGCTTGGTTTTATATATTGTAGGGAGACATGAGACATCAATCAATACGTGTAAGGTGCGCATTGGCTTGGTCTGAGGGGGCGGGACAACTCAAAGCAGAGGCTTCAAGGTCTTAGGTAGATAAGAGACAAAGGGCCGCATGCTTTTCAATCTCTGATTAGCCCTTCACTGAATACACAACTTACAGGAATTGTCACTCGCGCCATAGTCTGGCTCAGTGAAACAATAGGGCAGAGGAAGCAATCTGGTACACATTCGTCTCCCATGAGCAGAGGGAGGACATCTAACTTTTTTTTTTTTTTTTGAGACGGAGTTTCACTTGCATCAGCCAGGCTGGAGTGCAGTACTGCGATCTTGGCTCATTGCAGCCTCCGCCTCCTAGGTTCAATACATTCTCCTGCCTCAGCTTCCCAAGTAGTTGGAATTATAGGCATACACCACCATACCCAGCTAATTTTTGTACTTTTAGTAGAGATGGAGTTTCACCATGTTGGCCAGGCTGGTCTCGAACTCTTGACCTCAGGTGATCCACCCGCCTCGATCTCCCAAAGTGCTAGGATTACAGACGTGAGCCGCACCCAGCCAGACTTTGAGTTTTCTCTGTCCTTTGCTCACAAGAAATTTCCTTTCTGGTGAATCACGAGGGAGGATTGTGGCTTTTTGTTTGTCTTTGTAGCTATGCTATGTAGGAATAAGACGGAAGCAGGTTTGCGTAGTTCCCAGCTTGACTTTTCCCTCTGGCTTAGTAATTTTGGGTCCTTGAGATTTATTTTCCTTTCACACTCTACATAAGAATAGTTACTCAAGTCCAACCCAAAATTCACCACAAACCCCTGACAGAGAGAAGGTGGCTCTCTCTGGGGTTGGTGGGAGAGCCGCATGGGCAGTGCTGTGGGAAGATGCCTTTCCCAAGTCAGATTCTTCCAGCTGTGCTCCCTTTAATTTGGTATAAATGACAGAAACGATTCCTTATTCACTGGGTGAGGATTATCTGGAGGGTGGACATTCCTGGATAACAGCAGAGATGACAGTCCTTGACGTTGTCTTCCCCAGTGATAAATCGTCATCATGATGATGAATCCAGGAGTCATCAAGTACAGCAGCTCTATTAAAAAAAAAAAAAAAAAAAAGCAGGCGCCTCTCTGTGCTCAGCGTGCAGCCAGTAGTGCAGGGACTAGCTCCAAGGCTGTAGCTTTCCAGCCTCCTAAGCCCCACCTGCTTCCTTGCTAGGGGCAATGAGATTCTCCAATTCTTCGTAAAACACTGGCTCCCCTGCCAGCCCCTGGACCTCCACTCTCAGCCCCTCGTGTGTGCTGCAGAACTGTAGTGAAGACAGGGACATGAGGGCCATAAGAAATGGAAGAAATTGCTGTGCATTCCTGCTGCCTGTGCACTGTTCAGAGTAGCAGACAAGAAATGAAATCAACCCACGCTTCACAGAAAGGCCAACAGAAGTGTGGACCCCTTAAGGATACATGGCTGGAAAGTGCTGTGTCTTCCAATTCCAGATTCATTTATTCTGGGATGACATCCCTCCTCTTCCCTGGCAAGGGAGCGAGCAGGGGCTGGCTGGCCTTAGTGAAGGGCTCAGATGTAGCATATGTCCCAGAACTCCAGGGCACCAGGGGACGTCGCTGAGGGCAGAAACAGACCCTTGGACTCAAGAAAAATCACTCGCGAGAAGAGAAGCACCTGCAAGAGTTATTTCATTTTCAGGAGTCTCCTTCCTAACCCCAGACCTGAACCCACAAATCTGCAAGACAGTCAGCTTTCTGGATTGCCTCAGAATATGGTGTGTTTTATTTGTTTTGTTTCTTGAGACGGAGTTTCACTCTTGTCACCCAGGCTGGAGTGTAATGGCGTGATCTCAGCTCACCACAACCTCCGCCTCCTGCGTTCAAGCAATTCTCCTGCCTCAGTCTCCCGAGTAGCTGGGATTACAAGCATGCGCCACCACGCCTGGCTAATTTTTGTATTTTTAGTAGAGACAGGGTTTCTCCATGTTGGTCAGGCTGGTCTCAAGCTCCCAACCTCAGGTGATCCACTTGCCTTGGCCTCCCAAAGTGCTGGGATTACAGGTGTGAACCACTGGGCGTGGCCTGGTGTGTTTTTTGAAGCAGACAACATATTAGTAAAGGAAAGGAACTGACATTGATTGGAGGCCTGTCTGTGCCAGACACTGTGCTGGGCTCTCTGCACCATTTCTGTTGGCCACTGCTTTAGTTGATGCATCTACTGTGTCCGAAGGTCAAAGACATCCTGACGTCATGAATAGGTTTTGCAGCTGAGTGAGTCTTCCACAATGATCCCAGCTTTACACATAGCTGGTAACGTTTCTTTCTGATTTTCTTTGTAGCCCGAAAATCTCTTGTACTACAGTCAAGATGAGGAGTCCAAAATAATGATCAGTGACTTTGGATTGTCAAAAATGGAGGGCAAAGGAGATGTGATGTCCACTGCCTGTGGAACTCCAGGCTATGTTGGTAAGGACAGTGCATGTGCACGCATGTGCCTGTGTGTGAACACGTGTGTGCCTGTGAGTGTGTGATGTCCACTGCCTGTGGAACTCCTGGCTATGTTGGTAAGGATGGTGCGTGTGCACACGCGTGCCTGTGCATGTGTGGTGTTGTCACCATGTGTCAACTCAGTCATCTGAAGTATTGTAGCTTGACGTGTGATCACAGCTGCCTTCACTTCCCTTGGGGGAAAGAATAAAAAGATTGAGGGACACTGGAATCAGTTATTCATAACGGGAAGTGATTTCGCCTGAAAACTTTTGCACAGCTGGGTAGAAATCCCATTTGATTTGGTTGTGGGCCTGACTGGAGGCTGGGAGTTAATTTGGATGAATCCCAGATTCCATTTCCAGAGATAGTGCATGCATCTGTTTCTGAGTGATTGACAGTGACACACTGAGATAACAGTAAGGTGCAGACACAAGAAAACATTCCAAATATTGAGATAGAAACATTGATGGAGGAACCCGGTTCAGACCTTGACCAAGTCTCTCTCATCCATCAGTCAGCCCTGATCTGTACTGCCACGCGATGCCAGGCATTCATGTTTTTCCCGAAATCACAACCCCTAGTTCTTTGTACTAAGCATCCAAAGTGCAAAGAGTTCTTTGTACTAAGCATCCAAAGTGGGGCCGGGCACGGTGGCTCAAGCCTGTAATCCCAGCACTTTGGGAGGCCGAGGCGGGTGGATCACGAGGTCAAGAGATCGAGACCATCCTGGTCAACATGGTGAAACCCCGTCTCTACTAAAAATACAAAAAATTAGCTGGGCATGGTGGCGTGTGCCTGTAATCCCAGCTACTCGGGAGGCTGAGGCAGGAGAATTGCCTGAACCCAGGAGGCGGAGGTTGCGGTGAGCCGAGATCGCGCCATTGCACTCCAGCCTGGGTAACAAGAGCGAAACTCCGTCTCAAAAATAAATAAATAAATAAATAAATAAATAAAAACAAAGTGCAGCCTTGGCTCACTGCAACCTCCGTGTCCTGGGTTCAAGCAATTCTCATGCCTCAGTCCCCCAAGTAGCTGGGATTATAGGTGTGCACCACCACGCCAGGCCTAATTTTGTATTTTTAGTAGAGACGGGTTTTCTCCATGTTGGTCAGCTGGTCTCAAACTCCTGACCTCAGGTGATCCACCCACCTTGGCCTCCCAAAGTGCTGGGATTACAGGCATGAGCCTCTGCGTTCAGCTGCAGTTGGACTGTTAAGTGTATGCAGCCCTACAGTTAAGAGGAGTGACAGGAAGAAGGCGAAACGGGTGTTGGAACGAGTGCACCAGCCTGATGCCCACCCTGGGGCTGGCCCCAGCCACCTACCTCCTTCCCCAGCTGTGGATTCTCCCTGCGAGGCCCTTGGGACACCATTATGAATCTTGAGCACAGAAACTGCAGCTTCATCCCTGCTGTAACGTTTTCCACTGGAACAGGGCAGAGCCCAGCTCTACTCGGCAGCTGTGAGGGAGGAGGGAGAGAGAGCTACCACTTCTGATTCAGGGACCACACCGTCCCCTGGGCCCAAGCCATGGGCAGAGGGTTGCTGTCTCTTCCCAGCCTAGCGTGGTGTCTTTGTATTTAGAAAGAAATGTGTGAATGTAGATGAGGAAAAGTTTCCGTTCCCCCCAGGGCAATCTGTAAGCGCATAGCTGAGTTCAGACTTCCGACGGGTGAAAGTGTTGGCTTCAATTTGTGAATCACCGTTTTATTGTTATTATTATTATTATTATTATTATTATTTTCTGAGATGGAGTTTTGCTCTTGTTGCTCAGGCTGGAGTACAATGGTGTGATCTCGGCTCACTGCAACCTCTGCCTCCCAGGTTCAAGTGATTCTCCTGCCTCAGCCTCCTGAGTAGCTGGGATTACAGGCGCGTGCCACCACACCTGGCTAATTTTTGTATTTTTCATAGAGATGGGGTTTTGCCATGTTTGCCAAGCTGGTCTTGAACTCCTGACCTCAGTGATCCGCCCACCTTGGCCTCCCAAAGTGCTGGGATTACAGGCATGAGCCATTGTGCCCTATCTAAATGACTATTGAGAGCTGAATAGTTAATTCTGCCAACATGAAGCTATTGCTTCAATTTAAATGAGCTCTCTAATAATGAACAAACCAAAAACGGTGCTCTTTTTTGAAGTATCCCATTGCACAGGGTGCCTTAGGAGAAGGCAGCAGAACTGTAAGCGCTTTGAACTTCACCCTTTGTGGTGGCATCCTGGATTGTACGCACCCTTTATAAGGGCCGTGGCCTATGGCGGTGCCACATCATTTCACTGATAGCGAGAGACGCTGGGCATCCCATCCACATCACTGAGTTGTGGGCAGCTTATAGGGCTGGCTCTGCTAACACCAGCAGGTTCTCCAGTAGATTGTGGCAGATGAGCCATACAGATTCATGTGAGGCAGTGTATTTCAGGAGCAACATTACAATACAGGTATGAAGGCTGGGCACAGTGGCTCATGCCTGTAACCGCAGCATCTTGGGGAGGCCAGAGTGAGAGGAACACTTGAGCCCAGGAGTTCGAGACCAGCCTGGGCAACATAGTGAGACCACCATCTCTTTAAAAATAAATTATGCTGGGCACAATGGCTCACACCTGTAATCCCAGCAATTTGGGAGGCCAATGTGGGTGGATCATGAGGTCAGGAGTTCAAGACCAACCCAGGCAAGGTGGTGAAAGCCCATCTCTACTAAAAATACAAAAAAATTTAGCTGGGCATGGTGGTGGGCACCTGTAATCCCACCTACTCGGGAGGCTGAGGCAGAGAATTGCTTGAATCCAGGAGGCAGAGGTTGCAGTGAGCCAAGATCGCACCACTGCACTCCAGCCTGAGTGACGGAGCGAGACTCCGTCTCAAAAAAAAAAAAAAAAAATAGCTGGGTGGGGTGGCACACACCTCTAGTTCCAGCTGTTCGGGAGGCTGAGGCAGGTGGATCGCTTGAGCCCAGGAGTTTGAGGTGACAGTGAACTATGAGCACACCACCGTACTCCAGCCTGGGCAACAGAGTGAAACCCCATCTCTGAAAAATACAGGAATGAGAGGAATCATCAAGGGTTGGAATGACCAGGGGAAAACTTCTGGAGGATGTAGATTTGAAGGAAGGGTAAGACTTAAGCAAAAGTAGAGAGTGGCAGGTGCAGAGCAGGCAGGGGAAGCAGAGGTCCGGAGCCACGGGCTGCTTCTTGGAGGATCTGGGAGAAGTGAACAGACTCCCGGGGCTTGGATAGAGGACTGGCACAATTGTACTTGGTGTTCACCAGATGGGCCATCTGGTAAAAAGTGGCTCCTCGGGATACCGTGATGGCTCTCAGTCTGGTATTGACCAGTAACATTCCCCTTGGTGTTGGCAATGAGAGATAAAAGTCAGCTAAGGGAGCTGACTTTTTACTTTACGTAAGTAAAATTATGTATATTGAGTGCTCAGCTGCATTAATTAAAGTATCTGAATCAGTAAACATCAGTAGTAAGTCACAGAAAACATCCATATCAATCACGTAATTGGTGAGACAGGAGATGATAAACTATTTGGTGGAGGACAGCCTGTTTTCTATCTTTATCTTTTCTTTTTTTAAGAGACAGGGTCTCGCTCCGTCCCCCAGGCTGGAGTGCAGTGGCGTGATCATAGCTCACTGCAGCCTCGACCCCACCGCCCCCTGATCTCAGGTGATCCTCTCACCTCAGCCTCTTGCAGAGCTGGGACTATAGGTGCACACCACCACACCTGGCTAATTTTTAAAACTTTTTTGTAGATACAGGATCTGACTTTGTTGTTCAGGCTGGTCTCAAACCCCTGGGCTCAAGTGATCTTCCTGCCTCATCCTCCCAAAATGCTGAGATTACAGAGGTTAGCCACTGTGGCTAGTTAAGAATGGTTTTTTTGTGTGTTTTTGTTTGTTTATTTGTTTGTTTGTTTGAGACAGAGTCTTTCTCTGTTGCCAGGCACCAGGCTGGAGTGCAGTGGCACAATCTTGGCTCACTGCAATCTCCGCCTCCCAGGTTCAAGCAATTCTCCTGCCTCAGCCTCCTGAGTAGCTGGGACTACAGGCACGCACCACCACGCCCAGCTTATTTTTGTATTTTTAGTAGAGACAGGGTTTCACCATGTTGGCCAGAATGATCTCAATCTCTTGACCTCGTGATCCGCCGCTTCAGCCTCCCAAAGTTCTGGGATTACAGGCGTGAGCCACTGCACCCACCACTGAGAATGTTTTTATTGAGCCTTGTTCAGTCACAGTTCATCACCTAGCAATATTTTGGGTGGAGTGCACAGCCACAGCCACACCATTCCATTATGGATGTCACTCAGAAATATGAAGGAACATTTACAGCTGATCCATTGTTCTGTCTGGCAGCAGAAGTGCACACTGGTGCTTTAGTTGGGCTGTTATATTCCTGAGGCTGTCAGGGAAGGAATCATTCATTTCCTTCTGGAACTTAGTTGCAGTGTTGCCTGCAAAGCCTCGATAGACGTCTTTGGTCTAGCTCGGCCTTAACTTGCCTAAAATAGTTTAAACATGTTTCGTCTTGTTCTTCTCTAAAAGGAGATAGAGAACAGTTGGTCAGCATTCTCAGTGTATTTTTTCACTGAGTTAGAGGATTGGTGTTAATTCAAGGATCACTGCACTTCTAGAAGTTGATGTGGGGCTTGGGATTATGATGAACTCTTGGAAACCAGAGGTTCCATGCAGCACAGTGTTGGGGTGAGGACCTCCATCCTCAAAGCTGCCCAGCTGCCAGTTGGTGGCAGTCACTGCACCAAGTGTCCTCCTCTGTATGCCATTGGTTGGATGTGAAGGAGGCCTGCACCTTTCACTTAAACTCGGGGATTCTCAGTTTCTTGTATGTAAAATAAATGGGCTGGGCTAAACACCTCCTGTGATTTCTTTCTGGTTTCAACATTGTACATTTCTATAGACTTGTGAGTTAGTATCCTTCAAATGTGTAAATATCCACATGTCGAGGATACTGGCCA